ACATATACATTTATTAACATTGCTTTTATCATGGTCTCTTAATGGATTATTAACACCAAACAACACGAGGAATGTGAGTCAATATTCGGGACGACAACAATCTTCACACTAAGTATTCGGCCAACTGGGGCTATTTTTTACTACTCTAAGGTATTCTGCCTAATGGAGCTCGATTAGGTAGGGCTAGACATTTCTTTAACCTGTCTAAAAGAAAAGAAAAACGTTTCGTCGTTGAACGTTGAGGGTGTTCCTTCACTCACGTCGAACGAGTTTCGTGGCATTAATTCTCCTCACAATAATAATACTTAAATTAAAACATAAACGAGTATTAACTACTAAACAACACAACTCATTTCTAAAACATTAAATTAATACTAGAGTTTCTTTTTTTTAAATTTTTGGTTTTTGGTTAGTTTTTTTGGACTTAATGTCAAATCAATTAATAATATTTTAATTTCCTTGTTAATTTATTTCAGATTGGTTAACGGTCGCCTCACACTCGTTGATAAAGCGCTACGGTGCCGGTTCCAATTAACCTGAGGTAACTATTTAAAAATTCTTTATCGTCGTTACCTGGTTGGCCAGATACTTAATTGGCTTGTGGGAACTAATGTCGGCGGAAATTATATGGCTCTTTTCTGGCACAACGGACACTGTCGCATCAATCTGCTGGCTTGCTGCAACTTAAATGTCGACACAAATTTTTCTATGGCATATGGCTGGTTTAAACAAGGCGACCTTCCGCGTAACCTGTTGGAAGGCCTCGTAATGGCTTGCAAGCTGATGGAATATCTATGATTTTTATCCATCCAACATAAAAAATAAATGCAAGGCACGCAGCCGTATAAACCCGTCAATAAAACTTAATTTTGTACCGTTGTTAAATGCCGACTTTTTTCAAATGGTCGATTTTGGCAAACGAAATAAAATGTTGTTTTTTCTATAGCGCACGAACAAAATCTGATTTTCTTTTGGTTATCTCTACGCTTTTATACGGGAAAAATGACGCCAAGACTAATTTCCCCTTCTCCTCGATTTTCCCACAATTTTCCAAATTTATTTACTTTTCTTCACTTCACTGTTCTACTAAACATAATCATACGCACAGAGTTGCATTTTTCCAACGCCGATTTAAAAGAATCGACTCAGCAAAAATCAACACAAACTTGGCACTACCTTTTTTTCATAAATCAGAAGACCTGCATATCCGGCTCATTTTCAGTTTGGCGTTCGATCATTGCCGGCTAAAACTAATGCCGGCTTGCTTATTTTATTGCGCCATGGCATTTACTTATTGTGAGCGCCACCGCAACAACTTTTTATTCAAAATAAGGCAATTGTTAACAAAGTGTTGCCACATCACTTTGTTTTGAAAATCACTTTTTTCGTCATACAAAAATTAATCTGATCTGATTAATCTTTATGTATTTGCAGCTTAAGTACATAACAAGCTTGAAGTCATGGCTAGGCATATTAATGTCAAATTACAATGGAAAAGGACGGCAGGATTTTAGTGCGGCTCTGTAATCCCTTTATGAAATGTCACAAAATATGCCTAGCCATGACTTCAAGCTTCTTAGACCCTTATGCTAGGAACACAATTGGAGCGAACGACGAATTTTTTCGCGGCGTATGTTCGTCGTGAAAAATAAAACACATATGTGTATATGGAAGTGCACACAATCATGGCACCGGCGAAAATTTCGTCGGTCGCCGCGAACTCAATTAGCTCTATTTCTATTTCATACGCCGGCGACCGGCGAACAAAACAGTACAAGGTGGCCATACTTGTACGAATTTTATGTGTTTTAGTAAATAAAGTTACTTTTTACTTTAAAATTTGTTATGGTCACTCTACTATCTGTTATTCGTATAAAAAAAAAAACATAATTAATTTGTTTATTTATTTGAGTACTTGCGCCTGAGTGAAGATGGATATCAGTGAATTTATAATAGAGAAGATAGACATAAGTGAAATTATAATAGAGAACTTAAAGAATTATGTGTTCTTGTATAATTCATTGTAGTCAACAAATGAGCAAAAAGTAAACAACTTCATCAGCTGTTTTATAATTTCGTCGGTATTGTGTTCCATACGACGAATTTTCGCGGCTCATTTTGTCGCCGCGTAGGGCGAAATTCGTCGTTCGCTCCAATTGTGTTCCTAGCATTAAATGTTTTTTTTTTTTCCAAAATGTTGACATTTTACACATATTTTTTCCTTAAAGTTTTCTGTCGAAATTCTATCTCGTGGAAAAAAGAGTACCTAGGATGAGGGAAAACAAAATCTACTTTTGTTTGAATGCATACACCATTCAACATTATATTTTTCATTCTTAATTTTCAGTCGTCGAAATTGTTTTAAAATTTCATTTAATTTTTCTATTTTGAATTTTTAGATGTCATAATTTATTTTTTCGATAAGTGCTCTCTTTGTTAGGGATGGCATACATTTCACCGTAGTTTTGAAAGTGATTTGAATGGAACAAATAACAAAAATCTTTGTTCGCTCAGAAAATGTTGTCTGGGGAATCAAGTAGATATTTAATAATTAATGATCGAACAACGAATATAGAGCGAATCACGTGCCATGTGAACTTAGCATTATTACAATCCATACAGGTAGGCTTCTTTACATGCAAAATATTCAAACATAGCCCACCTTCTCTTCATTTAACCTTGTTTGCGCCCTTTGAAAACACCCCAATTTGAATATTTTCTGAATCATTTTTTATATTGATGGGAAATCTAGATATTCTTTTACCATGGGCCTATCTCATGGTAGATGAATACAGGCAGACGCATCGACACAGCTGAACTGTCAAACTAAGTTTGCAATTGCAATTTTTTTAATGAAAAAGTATTTAAATTTCTAAAAGTGTTGAAAACGCATATTATAATAAACACCGAGTGGCGTCGTATAAGAAAACATATAAAAATCTACTAATGTTTGAAAAAACATAGTAAAATGTTGGACGTATTAATGTTCCCAAGCGTTGATGCATCTACCTATATTCTTGTACCATGGGCCTATCTGTATGGATTGTAATGCCAGAATTACTATCAAAATAGATGCAACAAGTTGTTTATTATAAATAAACAAAACAAATTATTTGAATAAACAAAAAAATATGTATTCTATTTCTCTAAAGATTATTTTCGCTACAAAAAATGTAATTTTTGTTCATACATATGTTGTAATACGCATTTTGCCCTACCTTAATTTAATCTGACCTTTTTCTAATCGGACAGTTGATATTTAAACGAAATTTAATGTGGCGTTTCCACTGCACTTGATTCGCTCTCTATTCGTTGTTTGACCCTTAACTATGAAAAAACTACATTAGTTGTGTTCCAGTACTTTTTTAGTAGTAAAACTAGCAGAAAAGACAACACTTCGAAATGTCATTCTCATTAAGGTTTGCTCAAAAAAAAAGGGAACGGAAAATTAGCAGAAATGCGATAAAATGTCAAAATTCAAAATTACAAAAGTAAACAGCCTAAATCGGACTGGTGAAACCTTACTGAAAAGAGCGCCAACATTTAAAAAATGAGTATTGAAGACGATAGGTTAGGTTAGGTTAGGTTAAAGGACGCGCGATTGCCATATGGCAACCGCTCCACTCGGAGACCTATAGGTCCATTGTGTTCATCCTAGAAAAGAAAAGAAGACGATAGGTTAAAATTAATAATTTATAATAATAATTAATAATCTGATTCCTCATTCAGCCAGTCCTTTTCACTGCTGGAATCATCCAAAAGTGAATACATCAGTTACTCCATATTTTCTCTTTTTGTTTTTTGCACGACAAATATTAGTTTTTCCTTTAGTTTTCAAGTTGATCATTTTCTTTATTGAAATGTATCAATACATTTTTCAACCTTGTTAGCCCTGCCAATTAAATGTCAAATTTACAATATGCACATTTCTGCTCGGCCAAATTCATGTAGCTAAAACAAGCAGAAATGTGCACCACTCAGCGCCATTTTTTTCTCGAGAGAGCTGCAAGTTTTGCTAGTTTTTGGAGTACGGGAACGCGTTGTAGCAGAATTAGTGGTAATTAGTACTAATTTGCAGGTTCTGGAACACAACTATTATTCTTCACACAAAATTTCCTGAGCGAACACTCATATTTGTACGTTGTTCAAATCAAATCACTCTCAGAACAACGAAAAAATATGTCCCATCCCTAACAAATGAGAGCATTTATCGAAAAAATAAATTATGACATTTAAAAATTAAAAATAGAAAAATTTAATGAAATTTTAAAAATTTTTGGGAAGACTGAAAATTATGAATGAATACTACAATGTTGAATGGCGTATGTACATTCAAACGAAAGTACATTTTGTTTTCTCCCTGACTCGAGGTACGCATTTTATCCACGAGTTGAAATTTCCACAGAAAACTGCAAACAAAAGAGGCAATATTTTCAAAAACTTTGTATCGGCAGAAAAAATTTTTGACAAGTGTCTCTCCAGCAAAATTTAAAAAAAGAAAAATACAAAAATATATTCAAAATGTCAACATTTGCACAAAAAGTTGAAAACGTGAATGAAAATTATAAAATTGATGATATAATAAATCTTTAGGAGAAAAACAATCATTTCTTCTATTTATATTAGTGAGAATTTCATGTATTTTCGTATAAATTCCCATTAAAATCAACAAACAAAATTTTTGAAAAAAGGAATTATTTTACTATGAATTACGAATCGTGCCGTATGAACGGGTTAATTCGTGTACATAATTCTGAAAGCGAACAACGTTGTTCGGTTTCCAATGGAAACATGCTATAACATAATTTTGTTATCGATCGGAAAGTTGTAATAATCGGCCCTGGTCAGTCAGAGATTTCCACTACATATATCAAATCAAAAGTGATTTGATAGTGAATCAAGTACCGTGGGAACATGATATAATGAAATTCATTCAGTTGATGTAATTTTTTCGCCTTAATCAGAAATTTTGACATTTCAAAAGATTTCATTTTTATGGCCGAGGTAACAATTCGCTCCAGGGCGACATATTTTATTGTTTACAAACAATTTGTATAGTATGTCTCCGATTTGTTGTAATGTTATAAATTGTAATTGAAATCATATAAATAATTTGGCAATACAATGACTACGAAGGTTTGTTGTTGCTTGTGCTTTTCACCGTGCTACAACTACAAACTAATGCAGAATGATAAAGGAGAAAGTACGGAGGTGTACGACATTACAGTCAAGTATTTTGATCCCATAATGGTTTGTATGGTTTGTAGTTTCCTATGGCACAAGTTTAAAAGGGATCCTTATCTACTGTTTTTAAAATCAATCTTTCAGATTCTAAGCGAGGAACAAAGTGGAAAAATTGAATCTTCAACAAAAGTTTTATGTAGTAACTGCTGGACTCACATAAACGATTTCCATGACTTTCAATTGGAGGTACATAAAACTCGGACAGAAATGCTGATGTTGGTGCAAGGACCTAGCAAGGAATTTGTTAGTGAAGATGAATTCTCCGACAGGGGAGGTATGGAAGGAAACGAGACTGATTCTGATATCGACGATATCCCACTGACCAAGTTGTTTAACAATGAAACTTTGCTGCACAAACCGATCAAGAAACAGGCTGAAGATGAAAAAGCTCTGCTTTTAAACACCGATAATGATAGTAAGGAAGAAAAGGTATCTAGTTTGGAAAATAATGGTAACATAAACTTTGACAAAGTTGAAGTAAACAGTACTTTGGAAACTAAAGAGGAAAAAAACGCAATTTTGTCCGAGTTTAAAGAGGAGGATGCAATGGATAGCAATTTCGAATCAGAAGTCAAATCTCCAGCAATAAATACACCGGAAAATGATATTGATATTAGCGAAATGGTTTGTGATAGTGAAAATACAATTAAAAAGTCGAGAAGGGGAAGAAAATCAAAAAATGAGATAAACAGTGAAACCGCAAAAGGAAAACCTTCGGTCCGAAAATTAAAAAGCTCTAAAGATAAAAACAAAATGGAAAAATCACATAAAAAAGGAAAGGACCCTAAGCGAACGTCATATATGGATAAATGTCGAGAGAATGACGCATTTATAGCCCAGTGGAAACCGAACTTGGATTGTGATTTGTGTACGGCCACAGCAACTAATTTCAATACCCTGAGAGAGCACTTCCGTGAAGAGCATCAAACTAGGTGTTACATTAAGTGCTGTGATCGAAAATTTTACCGCCGTTGTGTTCTGATGGATCACATACGCCTGCACATAAATCCAGAAACACACAAGTGCGATATTTGCGGCAGGTCCAGCACGACAAAACATAATTTAAAGTTACACAAACAGGTTATGCACGGCAATTTGAATCAGTTCGAATGCGAGGTGTGCCACAGGCTATTTAATCAGAAGCCAACATTGGACCGACATATGTTAACGCATGTTAAAGGAGAGAACAAGTTCTTCTGCAAAGAATGTGGCAAAGGATATGTTTTGGAATTACAACTCAATTCTCATATCAAAACTGTTCACGGTGTCGATTGTGTTTGTGATCAATGTGGCAGAACATTTCATGGAGTCAATGCTCTCAAGAAACATCTATTGGATCATGCTGGAGTCCCAAAGCGTAAGTATCCATGTGACATTTGTGGCGCTCAACTAAATACCAACAATAACCTAAGACGACACAAAGCCGCCTATCACCACGATGGCACTACGGCATACATCTGTAGCATTTGTGGAAAGGTGTCATCTAGTGAGAACGCATTACGAGCCCACAAAAAACGTGTACACGAAGAGAACCGAAAACACAAGTGTACCTACTGCGAAAAAGCGTTCAAAAGGCCCAAAGACCTGCGAGAACACATAGCAACGCACACCGGTGTCGACTTGTATCAGTGTCCACATTGCCCGCAAACATTTAAAGTTAGTGCAAATATGCATCATCATCGCAAGAGGGCACATCCCATCGAATGGGAAGAAGCGAGAAAAAATCGCTTACAATTGCCTAAAGTGAATATTCTTGAGGTAACAAATCAAATAGTTATGTAAGTTTTAGAACATACTATAGTTAGTAATAGTAAGATGAAGAATGTATTTCCGCAATACGTAGATATTCTCCAGAATAGTGGAGGCACATTAAGGAAACAAATTGTTTACTTAATAAATCTTGTTTGTGCTCAAAAGTTTGATAACTACCCCACTATTTGGCAAGTTTTTTGAGGCAAAAATCAGTATTTGCCTCAAAAAAATTTCATATTGGAAGATCTTAATGTTTATTATAACCTACTTCACATATAACGGTACCTCCCGATATTCGTTATTTTCATGATTTTAGTGACATTATTTACTGAAATTACTTCAAATTTCGCATTTGAAGTTCGTAATGGGTGCTACAGCGTTGACAAAATTTTTTGTATGTAGGTTCACGTTTTCGTATATCCCCCATATGACGGTATCCTCGATATTCGGTACTTTTGATGATTTTAGCGACATTATTCACCGGAATTGTTTCAAATTTGGTATTTGATGTTCTTAAAGGGTACTACAGCCTATGACAAAAAATTTCGCAAGCAACTCCACGTCTTCGTATAGTCTCCATATAACAGTTTTCATTTTTTCGGGAAGTTTTTTGAAAATGTTCAAGTTCCTTCCAAATGGTGGAGGGTATTAAAAGTTCTGCCCGGCCGAACATAGCCGCTTTTTTACTAGTTTTTAAACAAAATTCTTATTGATACAAAATTGAATCCAAAATAGTAAGACTATAGATTAATCCCGAAAATGTACAATTTGTTGTCCATCAACGTCGAAAACATTCATTAATTTTTGAAATAATTTAAAATTATTGTGTTTTTTATTCAAAACCATACACACACATATACAAAATGTGTATATGTTTTGACATAATAAAAAAATGTTGCTTTGTTCTACCTTCTGTAAAAAGTATTTACTATTATTATTATAAGTTGTTTTACTGGATTCAAAATTTCACAATTTTTATGAAAGAATAAATGTTTATGAAAATATCTTCGCACATTAATATTTTATTTTGTTATAATTCGCCCTCATTATGACTACAATGAAAACACATAAAACAAGTAGATTGAACTAAAATGTTCTATTTGCGGATTTATTAAAATAAAATAAACATTTATTAAACACATCGTTTGCTCAAAAGTAGCCCAGTAAATTATTACGTCGAGTCAAATTTTTAATTTGTTGTGAAATAAAACGTTTTAAGAAGATTCATGTGTATAGGGAAAAAAGTAAATAAAATGGCCGGTTCGATTTGCGTAGTTCCTTATATATAAAACTCTTATATCCAAATTCTACTATAATTATCTTTGTTTGAGCCACTTTTACATATTAAGAGCTTAAAAACCAAAACATATTTTAATTTGTCTTAAAATCTGGTCAAATCACCTATAGGGGGTACATCAAATTTAAAACCATCATAAGAGACGCACATAATTGTCTAAGAAGTATTCAATTCAGAGAGCAAATTACAAAACTTTTGTAAAACTTAAAGCCATTTTAATAAACTGTGCGACACAGATAAACAATTTAGGCCGTGGTCTTCTCTTGCTGTCAAAAGTTTGTTGTTTCTGCGGGAACTCCATAGAAAAGAATAGAGGACATGTCAAAACAGAAAAATTTGTGTATAGTTTTAAATTAAAAAACGGTGTTTTGATAGCAATAGCAGACAGTATCACATCGTAAAGACAACTTGGTAAAACTCACATCATTGCCCATCTATATAAATATTCTCATATTAATGAACAAAATATTCACTGCCATATTGGTATCCACAGGGTGATATGAAAAAACTGAAACCAACTTCAGACTGCTGTTACGTCTAAGCCACTCGTCCGGCTGCTGTTAAAATTATTCCATTGACAGCTCATTTTATTTTTTACAAGGGTACAAAAAGATTTTGGTAAGAATTTTCCAGAAAAAAAAAAGTTATTCGTGATAGAATTCAAGCGTGATAGAGTGATTTCTTTATATTTGGCTGGAGAATCACAAGTGGCTATCGCTAGAGCACTCCAGCATTTAAATGTGAATAAATCTAACGGTAGCGTAGCCCGACGTCAAGGAAGTGGACGGAAGAAAACAGCATCATCAGCAGAAATAGTTCGAAAAGAATTGAGGCGACTTGTTTGAAACCCGCGTCGCAGTGGTCGAAAAATGACTCGTGAGCTTAACATATCGCAATATTCCATTTGGCAAATATTGAAAAATGAGCTCGAGGTAAAGCCATTGAAATTTCAAAAAGTGCCAAAAGAGCTAAAGAGTTGCTTCGCTTGGTCGAAAGTGGTGAATTGCACGCGCTTTGCCGAGAATGGGCCAAAATACTGCAGAGCATCATCCGGGCAGCGTGTGACGGTTTCATTGGCTGTTTGAAGGCCATAATTCGTGCCAAAGGTGACCAATTCGAACAAATCTAAACTTATTCTAAAATTTGATGTTATTTCCGATAATTTTGCTTTAATTCAATGAAATTTAAAAAAAGTAAAAATTATGGCGTTTGACTTTGTTGCAGTTTTTTTTTATCTCACCCTGTACTTTGTGATAGACTACACCCAGGCTGGAAAATTATGTCCTAATTAATGTGTTGTCCCTAAGTGTTCTTTGGACATATGTTGTATCGGAAATATATGCTTTGTTCAGTATTATTGTTTTATGTCCCCATAATTAAACTTTCCTATAAACATTTAAGATTTTTAGCATCTAATCATAGAATTACAAAAATGTATGTAATATTAGAGTTTAATTTATACTGAATCTAAAATAAATTATGATATCTTACCAATATATTATAAAAATACAAACTAAAATGGCGCAGTCATCCTTTACAGTTGTATTAATATTTAATGGTACATGATATTTCCACGTCAAATAATTAGAATTTTTGTCCGTTTTCTAGTGTTAAAAAAAATTCGACTTTTTTTGCAAGAAAGCTAAACACATTCATTTAAATTAATGTTACAGAAAAACGTCGGACATACAAAATGTCAAAGATTAACAAAATTAGCTTTGACAAAACCTTTTTGTGTGTTTGTATGTTGATAATAGAACAAACAATACAAAAATATAATAAAAATTAGTTGGCCTAATTGTATGCACCTGCCGTATTTGGTAATATCATAGTGGGGAAGGTGAGTATTAGGTAGATCCCAAATTAAATTTTGAAAGTCTATTTTTGAAAACAGCTGATTGTCGACTTATTAATTATACCTTAGTCCAAAATATAAAAAATCGAAAATTTCTCCCTTATATCCCAAATACGAAACAATAATTCATTTTGGTAGCTGATTTTTTTAGTCAATTGGGTTTTCTGTGTAACATATTGACAGACGATGGGGGCTACTATTCGCAGAGCCCAAAATTCAATGTGGAATGAATAGCCAACTCAACTCAAATCAATGAATAGTCACTAATTGTTTTGACAAGGAAACTTTTTTATATTCTCATAAAAAAGTTTCTTTGCTTTTTGTAATTTTGGCCGATGGTGTTTTCTTGTTATTCTATTTTGTGTCAGCTGTTTGATTTTTGCAGCCCCACAGAAAGTAAATATTTACATATTTTATAAACATTAGCATTTCGCATTCAAAAAAACATTTATCACTAGAATATTAAACCATGCAAAATTCGAACAGCAATGTGCATCGTCTATGTTGTGAAACTTGCTTCAGATGCAGTCAGAAGTTCATTGGTGCCGATGACAAATGTACCCCATTATATGAGACAACGCTAAATTTTTCGATCCTATGGTTAGAGAGAAGTATATCAGCGTATGCTTACAATTGATATGTTGTATACTATTTATGAAATTACTGGCTTTGGAAAATATGAATGGGGCGAGTATTATACAATGCAACAATGTTCTTTGTGTGGATTGTTGGGATCATACTTAGAAATTCTACGATTTCCTTAAAAATGTTTTGTAGAAAAATTATCTCATGCTTAAGAATTTTGGCTTGGATGGCTTTCAATAAAAAGGGAAGTCAAAGGGAATGTTTTAAATCTAGTCTACTTTAGATCTAGTTGCTTTAGGTACAGTTCGCACACTTAGTACACATTTCCTCATCTTCATATATCAAACATATTTACCTACCTTGATTGTCAAACCGAATTTCAAGATTTTAGCTATATAGGTTCACATTATACCAAATGGTACCATTTTAGAAATTTAGTACCATTTTCGTAACCTTAAAGTTTGAATTTCCAAACACTTTATGGTACATCTATCCTGCACTCCATCAGAGACTCTCATTCCAAATTCCAGCTTTACCGGTTCACCAAAATTCCATTTGGTACCATTTAGCACACACAAGTACAAATATCCATACCAACCTGCATCAAACAATTCAATAAAAATCTTATTATCCAATTTCAGGATTCCAGCCTTGTCGGTTCACCCAAATTCAAATTGTACCAAATTTATTACTATTTAGTATTACACTCCCACGGTAATACCAATTTCAAATTTCAGAATTCTGGCTCTATAGGTACACCCAAATCCAAATTGGAAATTTAGTACATGTAAGTACAAATTTCCAATGATGCCTCTACATCAAAATCTTACAATACGACAGTAATCTTGATTCGAAATTTCAGCATTACAGCTCTATCAGTTCACCAAATCAAAATTGTACCAAATTAAGTACCACTTAGTACACATAAATAAATACTAATTTCCGAAACTACCTGAACACCCTTGTTCTATAATCTAATAGCAATCTTATTTCTAAAATTCAGAATTCTAACTCTATCGGTCCACCCAAATCAAAATTTTACCAAATTTACTTTTTGTGCACATATGTACAATTTTCGATAAACTTCCTTCATATTCCAATCATACACTCCGCCAGTAATGTTAATTTCCAATTTCAGGGTTCCAGCTCCATCCGTTCCTTCAAATTGTACAAAATTTAGTACCGTTTAGTATTTTTCATATACATAAGTACACACTTCCAAAACTGTCTCCTTACATCGACTCTATTCCTTAATCTTGATTCCCAAGATTCAAGTTTTCAGCTCTAACGAAATGGTACCAAACATAGTACATTTTAGTAATTATCGTACACTTATAATTTCCAAGAACCATTGGGTACATCTATCACAGACACCACCAGCGACCCTCATTCGAAATTAAAAAAAAAATCCTCAAATACAAAGGGTACCATATTTATTACCATTTAATACTTTTCGCACCGTTCTAGTACGAATTTCCAAAAACCCAGCCTTAACTGACCCCTTAAGACCAAGAGTGATCCTCACCTAAAATTACAAGATTCTAGCTTTAGCAGTTTCGTGTAGGCGTTTGACGAATTAATTCTTTTCGTACCGTTTTAGTAAGGTTTTCAAAAAAAAAAAAAAAAAAAAAAAAAAAAAAAAAAAAACAGCCTTATCTGACCTTTTTGGACCAAGAATTATCCTCACCCAAATTTTCAATATTTTAGCTTCAGCCGTCCGCCTGGGCGTTGATGAATCGTTAAGTCAGTCAGGTAATTATTTTACTCTTTTATTAATATAGACTATCGATTTTTTGAATATGGATTTAAAAAAATCCCAAAAGTCGAAAAATGCCCCATTTTTGGATTCCATGAAATAACCCCCAAATTTTAGTTGACAGTATAGCCTTTCCTAAATGCTACAATTTCTGTTATTATCATTATTGGATCCAGAAATATTGGTATTTGAACCCAACGCTTCTTTTCCGTATATTTAAGTTAGCTTTCAAATGATACCTAAATTGTCTATATCGGTTTAGTAGACCGTTCTCAGACACCGACTTTGGGTCTGTTCCCAAAAAAAAAAAAATAAATAAATAAATTGCTTAATCAGGGTACAAGTACATACCTCTGGAAGAAATTAAAAAAATCTGAGAATTTTTACTAAACTTGAATAGATCCGTGTGATCTATGCAAGGAGAATTTTACAATCTAGGGATCATTACGCACACACTTTACTAAGATCCATCAACAGAAATGTTATGTATTCTCATGCGACAAAAAGATTCGCTGACATTACTTCCTTGTCGAACGTTCACACCTAAATCCAGATATGAATGCATGCTTTTTATTGGGGGCAATAGCAATAGCAACAGAGCCTCCTAAGAAGTCCACAAACAATTCATTCATGAAACAAAAAAAGTCAGGTCCAAAATTGTCGTGTAATCTTTGTAATGCACAATTATCCTCGCACAGTAGACTCAAATCAAAAAAAAAAAAAGATTGTGAAAAAGCGGGAGCAAGTAAAAAGACCCATAGTGCTAAACACTCTGGTCAAAGTTTAGATCAATATACTCATACAATTAAAAATAGAGTCAATAATCATAATTATCAAAAAATGCTCATCCCATTGACCGGGCAAGAGAAAGTCGTTTATTAGCACAGTCAAGTCTGATAGTGTGACAAAGGCAATTCTTTTGTAAAAAATAAGATTAGCGAAATAATAAAACATGTGCGTGTATCACCGACGAAGAGAGGGGTGCTGTGGTAGGCCCAGCCTTACTCAAATAGTAATATTTTAAGATATTTCTATAGTTTTTTTTTTTTTGCTTGATAAGTTCATTTCATATTTGTTAAGCCCCTCCAAAATGGTTTCAAAAGACATTTCTGGCTACGTCTTTGGTATGTATATAGGTTATGTTAAGTATTACATGGTTGATGTGATATAAAATTAATATTTATACATTTCTAAACACTAATTAGAAAATAACATTTATTTATTACAAACTAATTATAATTTTCCATTACATTAATCATATGCTGAAACCAATATATGTCATCTAACCGAGAATAAATTGGAATTTCTCCTGAATCGTGCAACCGTTTCACGACGAATGCATAACAGTAAGACATAGGAAATTCTATATTTATATTGTTCATACAAACGAGAGGAGTTTTTCTTACTAAAATAGAGCCTGTACGACCCTTCTAGTTTTACATTTTCTAATTTTATTCTGGTGGCAGAACGATCCAGTTTTTTCAACCCCAGATTGTTGACTTCATTGCATATAATTTATACTATCCTCTTGCCCTTGTCTCACAAGTTGTTCAGTATAAACCAAATGAACAATTGGGACCGAATAAAGTAGTGGCCGTAAAACCAATATGAAGCTTGGAATTATAAAAATAATATGAGTTCTTCAGCTGCGTGAAATCGCATGTATCTTTTTAAATTTACCTATTACCTAGTAACTGAAGGAATATCTAGTTTTTGAAATTCGAAAATCGTTGCTTAGTAACAAATACGATGACCAGAATAAAAATTCTTTCTCAAGAATGAGTTTGTTAGTTGACCCCATATCTCATATTTATTTTCTTTTTTGTTTTGTAGTATATATTTAACATTATTATATATTGTTGTGGTGTTATATTCAACTGTCAAACATCATCTTTAAGATTAACAAAGACATTGGGAAATATGCAAATGTAAACACACATTGCCTTTATTGTAAAAAAATAATATGAGAAGAGTACGTACAAATAAGATGATTAATTTTTCAACGTTTTTAAATGTTTATAACATATTTAATTTTAAAACTGAAAATCATAATTTTTTGTTTTGCCAGAGAACAACACCTTTGTAACATATTTATGTGTACGTCCTCCCTATGGGCGTGAATTAGGTTTTTTTTAAATATTGTACTGTTTTGTATAATTTTTAATTTATTTTCCATTGAATGTTAAAAGATATGCGTGTGTATGTGTGTGGTACATTTGTATCATTATTCCATTTCCAATATACGTATATTTTAGTTTTCGATTTGAATTCAAATAACATTAAAATAAAATAAAATCTGATGACAATAAGGCATTTTATCAGAAGAGTGGTGGCTTGCTGGAAGAGACACTTGTATAAATAGGGACTTCAGTTGAAGCAGCGCCTGATCGATCGTTGTAAATTTATCTAATAATCATCTAAATCGAAGTCCTCGTTGTCCAGTTCGTCGAGTTGCATACTTTGGAAGTCGACCTTGTAGCGCAAAATACCACCGATACCACCGAAACCGCGAACAAATTGACTTCCCTCTTGTGACCTATCAGTGATAATTTCAAGGGTGGCACCAAAGATTTTGTAGTTATTCGCCAGCCATTCCAAAAGTGGCATGGATTCGACAAGTTCCATCTCAACTCCGGTCTCCTTGTCCGTAAAATGGGATTTGTCTTTTTCTTGCTCCGGCGTCAAATGTAATACTGTGGTTGACGTAGAACTTGCATGATTTTTCAAAACATATCTCTGAATGTCCAAATTCTCCCAACAGATCAAGGTCTCCACGGAACCCAATTCCAAAGCACGCAACGTATCTTCAATTCCGAAACAGTATTTTCCAGTGTCCTGTGAAATCTCATCGAAGTACCGGCCGATCAGTTTCTTCTCTTGAATGAATTTAACGTTTTGCAATGACTCAGCTGCCAATTCAATGGCCTGGTTGAAACCGTTTTCACCGCCATACGATACGTCCACCATTTTGATGATCTTGGACTGCAACCTGGGATCGAACATATCAGATTGGCCCAACTCAGTTTTGAAATCGGCACTACCAGCGAGGATCAAACCGGCCACATTCGGTTTATCGTTGGTGATGAACAATTGAGTAGCCACCTCAGCGACTTTGCGCACGTAGTTGTGACGTTTTTCCATACGCAAACGGGCGAAACGCAAAGCAGACTGACCACCTCTGCCGTGCTTTTTCGGCAAATCGACAGTGAATTTGTGCAAAACATCGCGTGTATTGCCTTGCAATGTACCAAACAAAGCTCCATTACCGTCCATCACAATAAACCCGAACTTATTGTCATCGGCCAAGAGGGCAGTCAAGGCTTCAGTGTGGAATTTATTGTCGCACAAATAGAGCGAAGTA